GGTTTGAACACACAGATTTTGTCATAGAAATCTTGCCTTATGTAAGGTCTAAGGAAAGTAAGTTAAGGCATGTGATTTCAGGGAATGCAATATCTTTTTGTTGGCAGGGAGAAGGCTGCAATAATATCACTTGGCTCACGCGTCTGATTAACGTCAATAGTATGTATTGTTTCCCTGTTCTTTCTCAATACTGAAATAGGAGATTAAAAAACGAAACATTAAATGAAGAAAACATAGGGAAGATTAGTGTTATGTCTAGGATTTGACTCTTTCTTGGCTGAGGTGTACTTAAAATTAAAAAAGGATCGAGTGTGCCAGTCACTTCTTGTTGTTCTAAAGCCAGATATCCCAGCTTTTTTGTCCTCACTGGTGTTTATAATTCCCATAGACAATTAGGGGAAATGAAGGCCTGAGCCTGCAGTTTCTTTCTGTGCGGGAGTAAGTCTGCCCAGCTAGAATAAACTGCAGCATTGGAGCCGGAGGAAGGAGTCAAACAAACAAACATGCAATTGTGTTCAAATAGCCTTCACAAATAAGGAGGTAATCTTTGAGGAGTTAACTATAGTTTTTTGTTGCGATGACAATTGGTACTGTTTTCCTTGTAGGATGTTGTGTTAGGCTATTGTTCTCTCCAGCATGGATTTATTTAGCTGAACTATAAACTCTGTAAAACTTTGTCTAAAATCATTTAACAAAACATTTTGTAAACACTGTCTTTTTTTTTTTTTTGTTAAGGCAGAGATTCATGTTTGCCTACACATATCACTGAGAATCAGCCTGCACGCTGTTTATTTAGAAAGCAAACTAGTGAGAAGTTGAATGCATAGGCAGCAGTTTAGCACAGAATTTGTGAAGGGCTTCTGTCTCTGAAAGCATGTGGCTTTTTAAAATTGTAAGCAGATCTAGATTTTTATTTCCCCCCGCCTAATGTTGGTGAATGCTCCGAGTTCAAATTCTTTTTATCAAAGTATGTGGCCAGTTCGGGTTCCTTCTCTACAAGTCATCCTTTCTTGCTTATTTTTAGCCTCACTGAAATTCAAACAATCATCTTTGTTTCGGTTCCTGTTTGTATACTGATATTGTTGGATAATTTCAAAGACGTCAAAGCAGTTAGAGGTATCGTTGATATATGCTCCCTCTGCTGGTTGGTTCTGCAGTAGAAATAAAGCTATACGGTGCATAGTTGTTTATCACTGAATCACGCAGCAAAAATTAAAAAATAGTTAAAAGCAATGACATACAGTGTTTCTAAAGCAACTATCTACCAGAGCGCCAAGTTTAAGCTTATGACTTTTATATTCGTAAGGCTTTTAATTGCAGTTAACTTAAAATCTAGGTGTTGATAGGTAAGTGACAGATACTCCTTAGAACTGCTGCTGCCATGTTGCATACAGAATCTAAACAATAGCTTGAGAGCTAATGTATTGAGACAGCTGTTTGCATCCAGAATAACAACTTAATTACTTTGGACTCCATCTGGTACACGTGCTACAACATTACACTTACAAGCTTTCAGGTAAGGTGCAGTCCTTGCATAGTACACAAAGTAGCAGGCCTCTACCTGATTATCAGGAGAGGTAATAATCTTAGCTCTCTTATTGATGCATCACAGGAAGGGTGAGTGAAGGACACAGTTTCTCTGTGCCGCTGCTCACAATGACATGACTGAAGTTTCCTAGATCAGCCTTTCATAGCAGGGATTTGCCCAGAATAAACTGCACACACCTTCCCCCCATGTTCAGACAAATGTTGCACAAGGATGAAGTTTGAGTGTGATTGGTGTGAGAGGTCAGTCACAATATTGCAGAATGTCTACCCTTTTGGGAAGCGTGCAGTATGTCTTAGTGGATGCTAAAATTAATACAGTTTCTGCTTTGATAACACTGAGTTACTTTACTGACATCTACATTTACAGTACTGTATATAAATATATATTCCCCAAATACTTTTTGCCCGTTGTAGACCTTTTTTTTTCCTCCCTCCTGTGGCAACTAGAACTTTTATTAGAAAAGTAGGAAATTGGCAAAAGCTGTTAAGGAATGCAGCTTTAGAGGGGAAAAAGGTGGCGTTTATGCCTAGGTTGGGCATTTATTTTATGTGGAAAATAGAGAATAAGTAGTTAAAACATCTTTCCATGCAAAGTTAAAGCTAAGAAACAGTAGTCCATGTATGAACTCCAGCACTTTGAGGCTTGTATGTTATTTCACTCGTTTAGATATAAGCATAAACAATTTAGCTGCTGTTGCTACAGTAAAAATGTTGCAGCTGAATGATGATAGGTACTTCAGCAAATGGCAGCATCTAAGGACAATAGTTAATATTTGTAGACGAGGGGGAAAGGTTGTGTGTTTGGGGAGAAACAGTGCATATGATATAAAAGCCAAGAGATGTTTTCTGTTTGGTTTTGGTTTAAAGTATTTTTCTTAACCTTCATTGGTTGCTAAACCTGGAGAGACTTCAGGATTTATTAAAGAAATTATCCTGCCAGTTGCAGATGAGTTGTCTTTAAAAACCTTTTAGGGAAAACCCTTAAAATAACTTTGTAGGATTGTAGTAACAGTTGAAATTGGAAATATACAGCATTATTTTAGATAAAGCAGTGTTACACCTGGCAAAAATTGTAAGGTTCTTCATCTGTGGATGGAGTTCGTTGCTCATGTCTTCAATCTGGAAAATCTTGTGTGCTTAAAAACTTTTTTTTTATCTATTGTTATTAGTTTGTCTGACAAAATATCCAGTCGAGCTTTGAGGTATCAGAAATGCAGCGTAACTCACATAGGTTTTGTCAAAGAGGAGTGGTTAACCAGGTCATACAGTAGTGGAAAATAAGCCAAGTGGATTAAAGACCTAGTACAAAGATCAGAAAGGGAGAGATAAAGCAACACATTTTAAATTGCTTGCCTTTAGAGTATAATAGGTTCTTGGGGTGCTGTTAAACTTGTTAACATTAATCTACTAGGACATTCTCCATCAAAATAACATTTTGTCTTCATGTCTTAAACTGATAGGATGTGTTGAAATGAACTTCAGTGAAGAAAATATTTTTTTTTAATATTCAGTTCATGACATGTTTGTGCCTTGCTAATTGTATATTATATGGAGCAAATTAAATAGATAAAGTCAGAAGGGACTGTTACTTGTTCTGCTCAAAAGAGCAAGGTATTTCTGTCTCCTTTCAATTGACTGATAGTGTCATATGTTAAAAGCTTTGCCAGTGAGGTAACAAACCTTAGCAGCTAACTAGCCTGAGTTTGTAACTGGACTAGAAGTTAAGAAGGCTTAAATGCATTTAAATCTGTTTAGCTGCGTAGAACGTGCTGTGGTCTTGGCATCAGGTAGACTTTCAAAAGCTGTTCTACAAATACATCTGTTATGAATGTGCCATATGGAGACTTCAGGTGTTTTCAAGACCTGCTTCAAATGTGAAATGTAGAGTGAAGTCAGGCTCTTAGAGAGGTGCCTATAGAGCAGAGCTGGGTTTGTTGGAGCAAGGTTACGAAGTCTGATAGGGAGACAAGCCTGGGTTTTGTTTGCGTTGGGGTTTTTTGTACACGTAGTTCCACTATGATGTCAGTGTTTCTCAAACTTTTTAAAAATAATAACAAACCCCCTCCTTCCAAAAAGCATTTGCACTGAACAACCTGTATTTTAGGATTGACTGCTAGTCTTGAATAACTTTCTGAAGCCATGTTTTGGTTGACAGTTTTGAGAACCAAGCACCAGGAGCAAAGGAAAGAGGTTGTCTTGTGTTCTCACTGTTGTCCATATCTGATACCCAGGCAACATCAAGAGGAAGCCTGACTTGAAAGCAACAAAGCAAAGAATGTGGGGGTGGGATAGGACTGGAGCAAACAAATGAAAAGGAAAGAAATAAATGTTGATGAAGGATGGCATCTGGATAGAGACTGCATTTCTTATCCATTGAATGGTTCCTTAGCTGCCTTTTTTTTTTTTTTTTTTTTTTTTTAGTGGTTTATTGTGATTTGTATCATGTCACTGACATTCTGTGGAATTCTCCAGCTAGTGCTTTTCAGATTTCACAAAACTCGCTAATGCCCTTAAGCATGGTTCATGGATTGTCAGTGGCAGAATCCCTTCAGGGTATGAGTGATGTTACAATTTTTATGTGCAGAATTGAAGGCCTAAATAACCTCTGTAGGTTTGTGTTGACTGTCAGCTTTGTTCTTGAGCAGGTGCAATTGCCTTGAGGAAACTGGGAAGAAGGAGCATTGTGGAAGGATGAATTGTATACCTCTGTGTTCATTGACATATAATGTCTATACCCAGACAAGTTTCCAGCTTTTTATGTGGTCCAGCTTATTTCTAAATAACAGATTATGACAATTATCACTAAATCACTTTTCTCTGATGTGTTTCACTGCTTAATTTTACAAACTCGTGAGTTTATCTCATGCTTTTGTGCTCTCACACATAATTTTTGACCATAATAACAGCTTTTGATTACGCAAGATGTGGCAGATTTGGGTCATATACTCAACAGCCCCAGCTTTATTTTTATTTGCAGGATTCATATATACATCAACAACTTGCTTACATGGCATATACAAGTTGTAAGACTACAAAAAAATTTCACAAGTGAAAATTTTATAAATTGGAATTTCAGTTGAAATTCCCTCTGAAAATGCCCTCAGAAATCCACTCTGCCACCAGTGGGTGTTTACTAGATCACAAGCTTTTAACAAATTTGCTTGTAGAACAACAGATGTTCAGCTGTACTGAATACAGTTTACTTAAATACCCTGTTAAGAAGAGATCTGTTCTTCCAGTGTCCTACCAGTGACTTGCTATTTGTTCACCTTAATACATGGAAATATAGTTACATATTTTATATAGAATAGAATATTACACTTTCAGAGACACAGCATGTGTCTTTCATTTAAAGGAAATTATCTTGTTGCCTGTTGACGAAAGTGCAAAATACACCTTTTAATAAGCTTTTGTTTTTATTACAGCAATGCCATCTTACTTGTAGAAACGTCATGACACACAGCAGCATCATGGTGGATGTAGGAAAGTGGCCAATATTTACCTTACTGTCACCTCAAGAAATAGCATCTATTCGGAAAGCATGTGTATTTGGTACATCAGCCAATGAAGCTATATATATAACGCACAATGATGAGGTAATGCTGTAATGAAGTGCAACATATACTCTAAAATTAATTGTTTTCAGAGTCCACTGAATACTTGTAAATTAATAGCTTCTCAAAAGCAGTGTGTGAAATTTGTATATTTCAAAGCATGTTGGGTGCAACTTGTAATTTTTTTTTTAATTTTGTATGGGGACAATGGAGTATTTAGAAAACTAACAAATGACAAAGGCCACGATGGATTACACGTACTTATGAAGACAGCCAGAATTCAAAAGAAGTTATGGTAGCTTGAAATTAAGCGCAAGCACTCCAGGTATGAAGATAGAAAATGAGGTTATGGCTTGCTCTTTACAAACCACTTTTGAAAGAAGATGGTGTCTTCTGCTTTCACAGTTTAATACTTTTTATAGTACAGCTCCTGCAAATAAGAAGCCAAGCTTCGAAGCCTGCGCAGATCTGAAGAATTCAGACTCATCAGTTAACTTTCAAAGTGTCCCCATGCTGACTCTTGAGCTTACTAGCTTCCATGAGGGAAGTCTCAGGCCCTCAAGAGTCTGTGGCCAAACTCTGTCCTGGCTTTATGAAGACCTGGATGTTACCACATCTGTGCATACCTGAGTACAAATCACTTGAAATAAGTATTCCTCTGTTTTTTAGGTATTTGTTTTTGGACTGAATTGCAGTAATTGTTTGGGAACTGGAGATAATCAGAGCACAATAGTACCAAAGAAATTGGAAGCCTTATGTGGAAAGAAGATTTCCAGTCTCAGTTATGGAAGTGGACCCCATGTTGTACTGTGTACTGAAGGTAGAAAATTAATATTTAGTATAGAAACATAAGTTACAGATCTTAAATTCCACTTGCATGTAACAAGAATGGATCAAGGTGTATTTGTATTAACTTGTAATTGGGTAATGTACACTAAGGGGTTCCCATTGGTCTTAACTGGAATGAAATGTAGTCTGTAATAGGTAAAGTAAGTTTCTGTTACATTTCCAGTACGTTGCAACTGTAGAGTTTTACTCTATCATTTATGACATACTCAGTCCTACCTGTGCACTTCCATGTGTTTCCACAACAAATCTAGAAGTTATACTGTGATATATGTATATAAAATAATTATATACAAAGTATATGATTGTTGTAGTATACAAATGATTCTTGTAATAGTTTCAGTATTTGTTAATGTCCTTTCACGGTCATATTGGCGTTTTTTTAATTTCTTACAATTCTGTCTATCTTAACTTCCTTGGAATTTTTGGTGGCTTTTATTCACAAACTTAAGTCTTTTTGCAGATGGTGAAGTGTATGCTTGGGGACATAATGGTTACAGCCAACTTGGGAATGGCACAACCAATCAGGGCATTACTCCTCTTCAAGTTTGCACAAATCTGTTAGTGAAGAAAGTGGTGGAAGTAGCTTGTGGCTCGCATCATTCCATGGCACTGTCGTTTGATGGGGATGTAAGTTGAAACCTGTTCAAATCTCTTAATCTCCTTCTTGAAGTGCAGGTGACCTTGCAGCCTGAAGTTCTCTCTTTCTCCACAACATAACCTTTTCTCCTGCTTCCTCAAACTAGGGTGTCCTTTTGTTCAGAGCAGACTTGAAAACAACTCAAAAACCCCTCCACTCACAAATCCCCCCCCCCCCACCACACAACCACAAAAACAAGGGAATAAAAGCTTAGTAAACTCTTGCATCTTTAATTTGTCGTATGTCTCACAGGGATGAGACCAGAAAGCTGTGCCACTTACAGGTAAAAGAATGTTTTGTAAGGTGCAAAATGTAACATAGTTATTTGCTTGCAATTCTGTTATTTAAGGGGTATATTGAGTTGTTTGTATTCACTAATTAGCGTTTAGTCTGTTTCTTGTAGTCTTCATGAATTCCACACTGGTACTGTAAAAGAACGTGTCTCTGCACACCTCTGAATACCTATGTGTGTAGCTGATGAAAGAGCACTTGGTTTATATCCAAGTTTGCTTTATGCTACTTGTTTACATGGCTTAAGGCTATGTGTCACGGGAAACATGCAATTAGTTTCCAGTTAGTCACATTTGACCAGTGTGTGTGTATCTGCTTTGAGTTGCATGTTACTGCATAGAGGAAATCCTGGTTTCAGCTCTGCTTTAACAAAAGAAGAGTTCTAATTTTAACACCTTCCTAACAATGAAAATGGAAACTACAATTCTTTCCATCGTGGTAACCTAAACGTCTCTGTGTTATGGTTTAGTATGGCATCATAGTGCAACAGTAATACAAAGCAGTAAATTAGTATTTTGAGTGTAGGAAAGAGACATTGGATTAATTTAAGTGGACTGTGTTGGTATCTGAAAGGAGAGCCTATGCTATGGAAAGACCTTCATGTTGTCATGTTTGTCTTGGCTAAACTATAAAATTTGGTTTGCATGTGGGGAGGCAAGGGTGTTCATATATTAGTTAAACTAGTGGTGCCAGCTGCTATGTGGTAGCTGCTGGTGATGGCCATGCTGTCTCTTGTAATAAATGTGACATGTTTGAAATCTCAATAGAAGCAGGGAGTTTCTTTGTATTTACCACGGAGCTGATATTTGCAGCTTGATTGCCATTGTGGCCAGTTAATGTACTATAAATCCATCCCTAGCATAACTCGCAGTAGCTTAGTCTGTTTGTGCCCTTGTGGTTTTATCTGTACCGGAGTTGATTATACTTTAAGCAGCAAAATGTGTTAAGTGGAGTTTTATTTACAATAAGGTTTGGCTGCAAAACCCTTGTGACTTGATATACCTGGAGTTTCAGAGAGGCATTGAAGTTGGAAGTATTGTGGAAATACCTTGCATAATTGATTTGTATTTTTTGGTGGCAGGGGAGGTGTTTGTTTCTAATGACTGACTTTTGGTTTGGTGTTGCAGTACAGAGGTGGGTTCTGGCACCAAAGGATGTGCAGACTTCACATTAGGGTATCTGTCAGTGTTCTTTTACTGGCTAGCATGTCTGTGGGTGGGTATTTCCAAGAGGACAAACTTTTTAGCTGGGTAAGGCACCAGAGAATGAACTATCAGAAATAGTTTTATGCCAAGCTACGGGTGTATATGCACATAATAAAAATTGAAGGAACTGAAAATACAAAGCTATAAATATTTTTTTTTTTATGTAGTAAACTACTTCCCTGTCTTCTGGACTTTTAGATGAAAGGAACCAATATTTTTGGTTTTATTATTATTAGTTTGCCACTGGCAGACTTTGAACTGCTATACATGGTGCTTTTTTGGTAATGTCATTGTGTAAGAGTTTTGGTACTGTGAAACACTGGCTGACCAAACTATCTCCTTTCACACATCTTGAAAGATATAAAAGAGGTATTATGGATGTCCAGCAATAACCTGGTTTAGAGTAATATGAAGAAAACTAATTAGCTGTAAATTGGGGAGTTAAGTTTGTCTGCAAAACAAATTGTATTCTGGCTTACATTCCTTTTCCAATACCATGAAAGTCAGTCCACTCGCTATGCCCCTTGTCTTAGCCTGACTTATATTTAATATGGAAATATGTTCCTTTTGTTTCCTCTTGTAGTCAGATGCTCTGGTTCTGTAGCAAGAAGCTGAAAAAAGTGCTATGTTCATATTTGCTATATGAGTCCTATTGCTGTTTATAATTTTTAGCTGTTGAAAATTAATTTAACACATTTTAGCTCATTAAATAGGATAGTTCACCCAATCTGATGCTGAGTACAGTAAGATTATAATTTATTACTATCATTATTATTAAGGCTTAAACTGCAGGGGTTTGTTTGTTTGTTTTTATGGACAGCTGTATGCCTGGGGCTATAATAACTGTGGTCAAGTTGGATCTGGATCTACAGCAAACCAGCCAACTCCTCGTAGAGTTTCGAACTGTTTACAGTGTAAAATGGTAGTTGGCATTGCTTGTGGTCAGACCTCCTCCATGGCTGTAGTAAACAATGGTGAGGTAAGCATTGCTGCATTCTTACATTCTCTCTCTGTTACCCGAACTTATGAGATTAATATTTGAACGTGGAGATATGTTGACATGGAGTGCTCAAGTTATAGAGTTGTATTGATAACTTCTGTGAGACCAATTTAAGGAAAATTGCAATTAACTGGAGATGCTGTCTTTACACTAAACGATCCTTCTTATGGTAAAGACTATTGGAACATAATTCTTACCGAGTTTGCAACTGCAAGAATTGGAACAGTTGTATTAAGCTTGTCTGTCTTATTTCATAGATTGTTTAATATATTTCTTCATTAGATTTTTTTGAAAGAGTACACAATTAAATAGTTAGTCTTTCTGCAAGAATACACTGACTGATCCTGGTTCTTAAACACATTGTTTAATTGCCAGAAACAAAACCAAATGAAGCTTTTGAACATTGCCCTAACATTGTGCTCCTGTTCCGTTCCACATAAGTTTATGATGCTATCTTGCTTCTAGGTATGAACTGTAACCTCAATTTTACTACATTTCACCAAACTCAGAGTATAGCATTTCTTTGTGACTGGACGGATTGTAAAAGTCCCTGAGGTTGAGATGAGCTTTCGTTGTATATAGTTTTGTCTTGATATAACATAACAAAACTAAAGGAAATTAGAGCTAAACTGGGGACTTCAGTTTACAGCAATCCAATGGCTCATCAGCTAATCAGAATGAATAATTTATTGTTTTCTTTAAAAAAAGAAAAAGTAGTAAGGAGAAAGGAAGGTGTAAAAGTCAACCAAAATGTTGACGCTATGCGAGAGATTTTGGTGTATTGGAAGTTTATTGTAAAATTCCTAGTTCTTCAAAGACAAATCTATTTTGGAACGCTTCTTTAAAAAATAAACGCAGGATTGAAAAGTTGAATACAGTCAGTCATTGTAGTACATTTGCTATCTTTCAGCCTTCTCTATATTGCTCTTGAAATAGTATACAGGTTTTTAAGCAGATGTACTTCTTTGATTTGTGCTTAATACTAAGTCTTAAATGCTCTGTACTTCTACAGAAGAGTGGCTTAATTTTGTTTCCCTTTTGCAATCAGGTTTATGGCTGGGGTTACAATGGCAATGGTCAGCTAGGTCTTGGAAACAACGGCAATCAACTAACACCGTGCAGAGTGGCAGCGTTACATGGTGTGTGTATACTCCAGGTATGTCTAATATGGAAACGAAAACGTATTCATCTTTCTAGCATCTGCTAAAACTGTATCTTTGGAATCTTATGTCTGCTTCTAGATTTCACAGTTTAAATACTGGTATTTTTTTCTTTAGCTCCTATACATTATATTAGGCTTCTAAAAAGTGCAAGTGGGCTGTAAAATACTTGCTGTTGTAAATGTTGTGAGTGATGTAAAGTTAGCTAGTATAACTAGAAGTAAATTATGCTATGGATAAAAATTGCATCTTTGTTACAAAGCTGAATGAATGAAATGCATTAACCAAAGACAAGAAATGTAGGGTAATAAGATGTTCACATCAGATTCTACGTTAATATTATAATTAGCCCTTCAGAAGTGAGGTGAGAGGGAAAATGAATCATGGGTGTGGGTTTGATTGTTTGGTGGTTGGGTTTTGTTTGGTTTATGTTTTTCGGTTTTTTCCCAGCTAAAAAATAAAACTAAAAATTGGTGTTTCCTGGGTTTTTAGTAAAATTCTATGGACTTTCATGTGATAACTTGGGTTGAACGGTTGTTGGCTGTTGAACTGCAGCTCTTACAGTTTGTATAGTATTCAAAATAGCAAATTCTGAAAGTATTTCAGAATTGCAAGATGTGATGGTGAATTTCACTGTTCTTTGTGTCAAGAGTCTGCAACTGAAACCAAGTAAATGCTAGGTAGACTTTGCAAGAGTGCATTAAATTATTTAGGAGTAACCAACGAACACTAAATTAACGAAGCTGGGACTTTTCCGGTACTTACAGTTAACATATTTTGTGTTAGCTTTAAGTACTGAGAAATAACACATCGTAGTGCTAAATGAAGAATGCCTGAGATATTTAACATCAGCTAGACTAAGGTAATGTGTGCAATGATTTTGTTTCTCATCTCTGCTGTTTTGTTTAGTAGTAATGCTTATACATTTACTTACAGATTGCCTGTGGCTATGCGCACACGCTAGCACTAACAGATGAGGGTTTGCTCTATGCCTGGGGAGCTAACACTTATGGGCAGCTGGGAACTGGCAATAAAAGTAACCAGCTAAGCCCGGTGCAGATCATGATGGAAAAAGAAAGGTAATCTTGCTGAAGCTGTTTTTGGATTCATAAGTCTGAGCATGTGTTGTGCCGTCTCTAGCACTGGAAGCATGCGTGTGTAGGGCTTGGTGGATTGTTTTTCTATCGCTTATGTTAAGAGCATAGGAAAAGATGGTAATTTACTCTTTACTGAGTGCTTTTTGCTATCTATAATGATTACTGAAAGTAATATCAGGTAAATACAATATATGTTTGAAAGATAACAGATGACTAAGTGTTAAACTATTGTAAATATGGGTCCTCTGATTAAAAATTTGGAGCTATGAAAGCGATAAGGCAAGCTTTTAAGCTGTATTGAGGCCTACATTTAAAAAAAAAAAAAGGAAAAGAAAAAAGGAAAAAAGAGGGGGGGAAGGAAGCACCAACTTTGTAAGAAGTAATGTGAGGAAAAAACAATTTTCTGAAAGGCTGACAATAGCCAACCACAAAAACAGAACTCAATTTGCATGGTTGCTAGAGCTAAGGGCAGACAATGCCACTTTTATCAGTGGTACCAGTTAGTAGTTTGTAGTTTCTTAGCTTCCTAGACTCATAAAAGAGTAGCTTTTAACTTGTCCACCTTCTTTCAGCATCTTTGTCATCCTCATATTTGGGATGGCTGTTCTGCTGTTCACCTACAAACTTGGACACCAGTCCTATTCTCTGTGCCCATGTATATATCTATAGATTAACATACCTCCGTTTGGAAACCTCTTAGTCTATAAATCCCTTGACCTGTAATCTCCTCTTAACAAGGAAACACTTGTGATCATTTTTTCTCCATTTCTGAAATGTCTTTCTGGGAAGTCATTCCTATTTTTTCCTGTTTCTCACATTTAACATTAAATTAAAAGCTCCACAGTACTGAGATTATTTAAGAGTTTAAAAAATGGGTGAGCGAAAAGAAAAAAAGAAGCCATCACAATAGAAATCACTGAGGTGAGGCTGGCTTTTCTGTGAAGGAACTGACAGTAGCGGAGCAAAATGAAATAGTCTTTAAAAAAGCACAGGAAAATGAATGTGTATGTTTGCAAATATCAACTTGGTTTTTTTAGTTTTCATTGCAATATATTTGTTGTGTGAACTAAGGGCAACTGTTGCATTTAGAACTGTGTGTGAACTCAAGCATGGGTTTATGGTAAAACTGTTGTTTGTTCAATGACTAGAGGAGGGAGAAAATATCATAGAACTTCTGCTTGGAATCTAAGGGAGAGATAAGTCACTTGAACTTACTCATCTTGCTTGACTTGGCTCCCATGGAAACAGTGCTATAAGTGGGTGAGCTGTCATTTCCCATGAAGCATATTACTGCTGCTTGTCCTGGTCTTTTCTGTAGTAATATATATAACTTTTTTGTCATTTATATGTAATGCTGGTATATAGTTACTCTGAAAATAATAATTTGTTCTGCTAAGAAAAGAAAGTTTGGGGAAGGAAGCAGTTTAGGTGAATAGCTATGATGGACAATAAGTTGTCCATAAAATAACTACTTTATGATGCCTCATGCAGACGTGCTGAAAGATCTCAATGTTGCATCGAGGTTCATAAGTTGATGATGGTGTAAAAGAACCCATTAGTCTTTTATCTGCTAGAAATTATTGATATAAATACCAAAAGTGATTGTAGATTCTTCCTGTGTTTTATCTTGAAATAATTTTTGCACATAAAATGTGGGCTTTGTGCTAAAAAAGCTTTTTGCCTGAAAAGCTAACTCTTCATGGGTATTGTTCTGTAAAGAAATAAATATTTTGATATGCATATTCTTAGACTGCTTGGAAAGACATTTATTTGTCCCAGTTGATCTGTTCCTGGCACAAAACCATGAAATCCTCTGATGAATTTTTAACGTAGCGAAAAACAGGAAAGTGTAGCTTTTCTTTTGAACTAATGCTGGAATTTCCTCTGGTTTTTGCTTATTGTACGAACAGAGACACTGGAAACATCCTTGTGGTCCTTTTAATGGAAGAGTGATTCTTCTCAGTTCTTGTAATGTTTCAGATAGAAAGATAGGGATTGCATGAGCAGTGGGAGAACAGAATAGATAAGTGTGCATCAGCAGCTCTAATATTTTAAGGAAGTATATGAGGTGGATGAAAATACTATGTAAACATTATTCATAAAACAACCATAGCTCATCAAGAATGTGGAGTTAGGAGTGTATATTCACCTATCCTCAAATGAAGCACTGTCTGTGTTCCATGCTGAATCTCAGTGTTGAGGAGAGGAAACTGAGCAAAATAAGAAGTCAGAAATGCAGGCAGTAGGTCAGATCTCTTTCTACATACAAAAAACAAATTAAAGGCAGGGTAGAAGGGTTTCTTAATAAAGGATTTATTGAAGAATACATAGGATCTTAATCTCAAATGAGAGAATTTTTACAACATCTGTTTGAAAGAAGTTCTGAAAAATGCTCTGCAAAAATCTTAGTAGTGTAACTTTCCTGCCCATTCCCTAACTGGAAGTTTTGTAAGCTCCATAAGCATTTCTTCTTGAAAATAATTGTCTGATGTTCGTTGGTTTTAAAGGGGAAAAACAAAACTTTGTTTTGCTTCATCCCTTTCCCATGGTGGTGGGAGAAAAGGAGGAATGTCAACTGATGAAAACAACATAATTAAAGCAATACCTGATTACAATAAAATCTACAAGCAATCTGAAAATGTCATTGCAGTTTTTAGATATTGATCTCTTCAAACAGTATCATGTTCATGCAAGACAAAGGAAAAAGTACAGGAGTATGGATGCATAGTTTGGTTGGTTGCTATTTTGCTGGGGCTTTTGGAAAGTCCTGTACTTTGGAAAGATTCCATACTGGTAAGTATCTCACAAGGTTTCTTCTGTTTGCAGGGTTGTGGAGATTGCAGCCTGCCACTCTGCTCACACGTCAGCTGCCAAGACCCAGAGCGGCCAGGTGTACATGTGGGGCCAATGCCGTGGGCAGTCAGTGATCTTTCCTCACCTCACTCACTTTGCCTGCACTGACGATGTGTTTGCTTGCTTTGCTACCCCTGCCGTTATGTGGCGTCTTCTATCAGTAGGTGAGAACAAGCTCTGATATGTCAGCCAGTGCTGTGTACAGTGCAGTAATCTCTGTGTACATTTGTAGCAATTAGTACAGGATACCACTTCTGTGAGAGGATGGTTCCTGCTTTAAGGAGAACCAGCAATTAAAACTAGCTCTTTTAGCTTGTTTGTTTGTTTGTTTGTTTGTTTGTTTGTTTTTGAAGGCAGGCTACTTCAGCAGGTAAGCATTCACAACAGGGTTAACAAGATTGGTGTTTTTTGCCAGTGTACATCTGCAGAGAATCATGTTTTACCATTGCACTGTGAATATTGTGTATTTCCTATATTTGTAGTGTTTGAGCTCCAGCTCAGGGCTAGGAAGGACTCCTGGATTGTTCAGCAACTTTTTTCTCTTAAAAACTGTTCCTGCTTGGAAGACTGCTTCTGACGCTTGTTACTTTGGTAGCTAACAACTTTGAATTATAAGTGTTGTCTCTAGCTTTTCCCTTCTTAGTATTTACCCTTCCGATATGAACATGAAAGAGTGAATCTCTCTCCCTTGTTTCATGTGAAGAAAGTAAAGTAACAGAATTCCAAGTTTTCATTTTGTGAGATGATTTCATAGGATCATAGAATAGTTTGGGTTGGAAGGGACCTTTGAAGGTCATCTAGTCCAACCCCCCTGCAGTAAGCAGGGACATCTTCAACTAGATCAGGTTGCTCAGAGCCCCATCCAACCTGACCTTGAATGTTTCCAAGGATGGGGCATCTACCACCTACCTCTCTGGACAACCTGTTCCAGTGTTTCACTACTTTTATTGTAAAAAATTTCTTCCTTACATCTAGTCTGAAACTTCCTTCTTTTAGTTTAAAACCACTACCTCTTGTCCTATCATGACAGGCTCTGCTAAAAAGTTTGTCCCTGTCTTTCCTGTAGGTCCCCTTTAAGTACTGAAAGGCCACAGTAAGGTCTTCCCAGAGCCTTCTCTAATCCAGGCTGAACAACTCCAACTTTCTCAGCCTGCCTTCACAACAAAGGTGTTCCATCCGTCTGACCGTTTTTGTGGCCCTCCTCTGGACCCACTCCAACAGGTCCATGTCTTTCCTGTGCTGAGGACTCCAGAGCTGGACACAGTACTCCTGGTGGGGTCTCACCAGAGCAGAGTAGAAGGGCAGAATCACCTCCGTCAACCTGCTGGCCACACTTCTTTTGATGCGGCCCAGGAAGTGGTTAGCCTTCTGGTCTGCAAGCACACGTTGTCAGCTCATGTCCAGCTCTTCATCCACTGGTACCCACAGTCCTTCCCAGCAGGGCTGCTCTCAATCCCTTCCTTCATTCCCCAGCCTGTATTGGTACAGGGAGTTGCCCCAACCCAGGTGCAGGACTCTGCACTTGGTCTTGTTGAACCTCATGAGGTTCACGTGGGCCCATTTCTTGAGCCTGTCCAGGTCCCTCTGGATGGCCTCTGGTCCCTTAGGCATGTCAGCCGCACCACTCAGGTTGGTGTTGTCCGCACATCTGCTGAGGGTGCACTCAGTCCCACTATCTATGTCATTGATGAAGATATTGAACAGCACTGGTCACAATACAGACCATCTGGACATTGAGCCGTTGAGCACTACCCTCTGGATGTGACCATCCAACCAATTCCTCATCCACTGAACAGTCCACTCATCAAATCCATATCTCTCCCATTTAGAGAGCAGGGTGTCGTGGGGGACTGTGTCAAAGGCCTTACAGAAGTCCAGATAGAGGACATCCGTAGCTCTTCCCTTGTCCACTGATGTAGCCACTCCCATCCACTAGGTTGGTCAGGCAGGACTGGCCCTTGGTGAAGCCATGCTGGCTGTCTCAAATCGCCTCCCTGTCCTCCATGTACCTTACCATTCCTTCTAGGAGGATCTGTTCCATGATCTGCCAAGGCACAGGTGAGGCTGACAGGTCAGTGGTTGCCAGGGTTCTCCTTTCTACCCTTTTTAAAAATGGGTGCGGTGTTTCCCTTTTTCCAGTCACCCGGGACTTCACCTGACTGCCATGACTTTTCAAATATCATGGAGAGTGTCTCGGCAACAACATCAGCCAATTCCCTCAGGATTCTGGGATGCATCTCGTCAGGTCCCATAGATTTATGGATGTTCAGGTTCCTCAAGTGGTCACAAACCTGATCTTCTCTTACAGTGGGAGGGACTTTGTTCCCCCAGTCCCTGTCTTTTGGTGCATCCACTCAAGATGCGTAGAGAGAAAGGTTGACAGTGAAGACTAAGGCAAAAAAGTTGTTGAGTACCTCAGCCTTCTCCTCGTCCCTGTCTCTCAACTCGATTTAGTTTGACTTTCCCCAAAGACAGGCAGACTTTTAAATAATAGTCCCAGTATAACAAGACTCTAATATGATTGTTTTCTCTTTTGGAACTCTCTTCTTATGCTGCCTTGGATTACACTTTGGGATGCGGTCTCTGTGACCAACAAATAAGCCCAAGCCTGCCTTCTTGATTATCTTTGATTCACATGCTGCTAATTCTTATTTGACCCCAAATGTGCTATGAAGTGCTTAGCTTGCTGTTAGCTTGCACTTCCTTGAAAAAATGAAGGTGTTTTCTTGTTCAAAACATGAAGACGTTTTCATCTTAGGTCTGCCACTTCAGTTCTCAAGATTTTTTAGATCTAATATGTTTTCATATTGACAACAGATCCTAATCTTGTTAGTCGTTGTACAAAATCGGTTTTGTGGAAGGATCACATCCTACATAACCTTTCTGCAGACTCAGACTTTATCTTTGTGTGTGGCTTGTCCTAACCCAACTTTTCCATCATAACTTCTCATTTAGCATGTTATCACATTTATGAAGGTCCAGAAAACAGCGTCTCGTCTACAGAGGAAAACAGAATAGTTTTACTAAAGAGAGAGAAGATTAGCTTGGAGTTACCTGCTTCTGGGTAAATCCAAGTCTTCTTTTATCCCACTTCTCACTTTTTCCATTCTCTAATGCTCTGTGATACGTGTTAGTCTTGCCCTCTGTAGAGATCTGATGGTTGTCCAGGTCTGTTGCCTTTTGCTAATGGTGAAGGCTGTTTAAATGACATCTCCCCAGTTTCAGTACCTTTCAAGTTACTGATTTTTGTGAAATATTCCCAGACTGAGTATAACAAGGTATTTGAATTTTGTTCCTGTGTTTTAATTTCTCTTAGCCTTTGCAGGTTCTTCCTCGTTTATTCTGATAATCCTACTTACTGAATATTTAAATCAAAAGCATTAATCTGGGGGGCATTTTTAATCTCAATTTTCCATATGCATTTTCTTCCTTACCCACCTTTTTTTATTCATGTAGGTTTAAAAGAAAACAACCCTTTTTTCTTTTTACGGTGCTGTGGGGTTTTTTTTTCTTTAGTGGGAGCTAACTCTGCATAAAGGTTATTGTTTTACTTCCAGTTATGATGGCTCTGCCAGAAAAATGATTCAGTCACTCAGGATTGGCTGTGGTGAAGCACAAATCTGCAGCCTTTATTGAGGAGTGAACTTAAGGTATTTGGAGTGAAAATTGATCTACTGTATAGCTTAAGCTAAGCTGATGACCCACAAAAAAAATCACATGATCAAATGGAGAGGGATTGGAGCATGGTTTAGTTAACCCCGATGAGATGCAGGTTCTGTGGATAATCCATGTAAATTGGAGGAGTGTATGGTCTCTTGTGGCATAAACGTGACTTAGAGCAGTTTGGTATAGCAGTATTTCTTTTTAAATACCAACTAATTTATCTGTCCCTAATGGTGAAGAGTAATTTGTGGATTATACACTGTGTGAGCTGCCACAGGCAGGACGCAGGAACAGCCACAAACCCATGGATGAAATGCAAAGAGTAAATTTATTTTCATTGCCTTGCCAAAGGGGGATCCCTGAGGCAGCACCCAGGCAGAGACACACAAGTGGACATGCAGGCACCACAGAGCTCAATCCATGCTAGAAGATGACCAAACCTGCTGGTTTTGCCTGTTTATCAAGGATTCATGCAGATGTTGTTTACCACTGTGCTTTGATCTTTCCTACAGCAGGGCAGGAATCTCAAGCGTGTTAAGTAGGGTGCTTTTAAGTCTATCACAGGCCTATGTTAGCTAAACACAGATGTTCTATTTGTTCAACACACAAGGCTAAACAACAATTAGTATGAGATACGTGTTTTCAACACCCCAGCTGCAAGTCACTTGAGCATGTTTAATGCTCAAGTAATCCTCCTCACCAGTCTTCTGTTATTTTCCCACATGTATGGATAAACAATAGTCAGTCCTGTGGGACACAGGAGACAGACCACATCCTATTATAATGGAAATCCACTTATTTTTTTCTTTTCCATACTGTGTTCTTATAAACCATGTGTTTTGAAACATACTTTTAAGATGCATCAACAGAAACTTCAAATCATGGGTTAAATTAGGTTTTCTAACTTCAGAGTTCTTGCTTTACCACAAGCCTAAACCAGCTTGTGCTGTAACTGTTGTATGACTTCTAGAGACAGAGAATGGGATCTCTGTGGGACCAGTGCCATAGGCCTTAATATAAAGAACTGTCAAAGAGCTTTAATCCACTTCCAAATTGCTGAAGTCCTGTGTCCTTCATTGAACCAAGAACACAGTATCTACTGTCTCTCTTCTTCCACAGATCTGCTTTTGAATTTTCTGTTGTCATAACTGACTAATAAACTGAGTGTAATGATGTCAGTGATAGTTTGTGTTAGTGGACCCTGGCAAAGACCTTAACAGACAACCTACAGGCTATGACCAATCTGCCAGCACAAAAAAGTGGCCAACTGGTGACATGTTTTCTTACTATTTAGGCTCAGGTCACATTGTGTCAGTGCAGCTGAACTACTGTACACCGTGTCTCAAGTGAGTTGCAGGTGATGCTGTAGACTCCAATTACCAACAGTTTGCAGGTTGCAGAGCTGAGCTGACCCAGCACTAGCACTGAGCTGCCAGGAGGCTGGCAATTTCACGGGTGGTACCCAGGGGGAGAATGAGAGAGGAAGTTCTCCAGGTACTTTGCTTGGTGCAGTGCTACCTCCGTATAATGAGCTGGAATGGGAACTGCTGACCACTGCTGCCTGTAGCTGTTGTGGAGCAGACCTTGCCGACAGGAAATGGTATTGGATTAATTCATTCTTCCCATTTCACAGCTTAAGCCAATGGAGCCCTGATACTGACCTATTTTACTTGACGTACTTTTAGCTGAGCTACTAGCTTTAGTTAATTATGTGTATGTTTTGTTTAAGAGGCTTAACATGTTTGTTTTATTTGTTTTAAAATTGTTTCTGTAGAGCATGAAGACTTTTTAACAGTAGCGGAATCTCTGAAGAAAGAGTTTGACAGCCTAGAAACATCAGACCTAAAGTTCCGTGTGGATGGAAAATACATCCATGTCCACAAAGCTGTTCTGAAAATAAGGTAGTGGTCACATTTCACAGCTCTTGTTTATACAGAATAACCTCTTAGTATTGCATCTAAGGCCAGGAGGGAAGTAAGGGGTAGGGAGGGACCCCTAAACCTGTAATATATAGCACCTATGTATCCATAATCACTTTAAATGAAGTGATTGTAAAAGGAGTTGAATCAAAACTCCGTCTTAAAATGGTCTATATATGGTTTTCACTAAGCCTATTTGTTGTTTCCAGGATAATAAATTCTGTTTAGTTGGTCTGATTGCAATGCATACACAGATGTTCTGTAGCATAGATCAAATAAGAGTTTTATCTTGATGCACAAATATAACAATGCTCACAGTATTAGGAACGAAAATGTGGACCATGGGCTGTGATGGGGTATGGTAAAATATTTGTGAACATTGCAGAGTGTACCAAATACATATTTTAGGGGGACTGTAATGTAACATTCATGTGGTCATATAATAGTGTTCCAGATAATGTCTTTGTCTCTTAGGTGTGAACACTTCAGAACCATGTTCCAGTCATACTGGAATGAGGATATGAAGGAAGTGATAGAAATAGACCAGTTTTCTTATCCTGTGTATCGTGCCTTTCTTGAGTACTTGTATACAGACAGTGTTGACCTTCCGCCTGAAGATGCAATAGGTATTGCTTATGGTCCATTTATGTTAGAAAGCAGCATCCTGAAAAACTGAGACAGGGGATGCAGAATAAATGTATTAACATAGGCTCCTAGTCTAGCCTACAATGCATTTTACTGGTGATTAATTAAGCTGTCTTTAAAATAGGTGTATCAAATTTACTACAGCAAAATTGTTGCATATTTAGAAATAAACTATGAGTATTTTTTTCAAGGTTGGGAAAGAAACTATTTCCCTGGGTTAAAATACTTCCATATTTTACTACATTGAGTGAATTATTGTTTAGGATAATATGAAAGAATCTCAGTAGATCTAACAGGGGAAACTTGGACAGCAGAGCAAAGAGCAAGTTGTAATTCAAGCACAGATTTTTATAACGGTAGCTTTTTACTTGTGTTGTGGTGCCTGTTTTGTGATGGTTCCACTTGCAAGCAGTTAGGTATGCAGATCAGTGGAACAGCTTGTGTATTTACAGAGATTAACAGGATTGTGGCTTGAGGTAATAAAAGGCCTTTCTTCCTGTGTAATGGTAAAATACATTTTTCTGAATAGTGACCTACTTGAAAAAGGCATGTTATAGACATTCCATACAAAATATGCATGCAACTGTACCCCAGGAGCATAAACTGTTGTTGAAAGAGCAGAGATCATTACAACTGACTAACACGATGGCATTGTAATTGCAGGGCTTTTGGACTTGGCTACTTCGTACTGTGAAAATAGGCTGAAAAAACTGTGTCAACACATTATCAAGAGAGGAATTACTGTGGAAAATGCATTTTCATTGCTTTCTGCTGCTGTCAGATATGATGCAGAGGTAAACTTCTAAACTACAAACTCTTAAATAGGTAGCTGGTTTCTGATTTAACCTATGGAGAAAAGCAGCCAGTTATATTTGCATATAAGCTCTCTCTCACTTACTATCAGATGATACTATTTGACATTTTCAGAAATTGAGAACTCTGGACTTATAAAAACTGTATTCGCAATGATGAGAGATGGTTGTTTTGGGGGGGTTGGTTTTTTTTTTTTGTTTTGGTAAACCAGTACTGGTAAGGTGAACTAGTACACAGATATCTAAAGATGACTTAAGTCCCAGGCTGAGACTCCATATCTGTAAATGTTTGCATTGCTTAATTTCATGGTAAAAGGTTATGACGCTGTGCCAAGCTTCATTAATTACTATTTTGGGGTGGGGGGGAAATGTAACAAAATTTCTGAGGATAAAACCACTAACTCTGAAACAAGGGAAGTGTTTAAATACAAAGCAAAACATACAACATTATGAAAATCAGTCTTGTAAGCTTGAAGTTACTTATTTGTAAGGTTGTGTGGTGTGTGTGATGTCATGTGGTGGTAGGTTTGGGGATTGATTGCATTTGGGGTTTTTGGGTTGGCAGGGTGTTTTTTTTGTTGGCTGGCTTTTTTGTTTGTTTATTTTTTTTTAGCTACAGTCAGTCTTTCAGTCTCCATGGTATGCTAATGAAATGGCAGGATAAGAACTGCCTTATGGGCCTAATAAATTTGGAAGACAGAGAAGCACTGTGTGAAAAGGGTGGGGGGAGGATAGTGAAACTTCCCTGCTGCATAATGTCTGATTTCACTACTAGATCACTAACATGCTGCTTCGTGAACTAATCAGGAAGTATTCCTGGGCTGGCTTCAACTCTTTGTGTTCAGCATAGTATCTGTATATCATGTTTGCAGCTTTCGTGACTGGTTAGTCTTTACCTTGCTACTTATGCTTATAAAGCAGTTTTGGTACTAAGTAAATCAACTCATTGCTTTTTCTTGTACTTAATATCCAACAATTGGCATGCAGATGCCCTAACCTGTTTCAGAGCCTTGTAGTGTGTTGCTTGTTTGATATACCTTACCCAAAGGGCTGTGTTACTGTCTGAATTGCAGCTTCAGCTCTACTGTGAATAATGATTTCTTTGGTGGGAGTTCACGGGAGATAGGAAGATTTCCATATTTTAGCCTTGAAAGGTTGTTTGCAGGATGGGACTTCAGTGTGTGATTGATTCCGCTTGTAAAGGTTAGAAGGAATCTAGTTACTGTGCCTTGGCTGTACCTCACTAGCTAAATGAAGTTAGAAGTAAAGTTAGAACAGTCAGCTTAAGTGCTACATCAAGGAAAGAATGGGTGACACTGAGGGTGTTGGGTTTTAGTAGAAAGTGATTTTTACATGCAGTAATACTAGGTGGGGGCTTGAAATTGTTTGGGTGATGTAGTTTCTTCAAGGTACTGTGCGTCTAGAAGACAACAGTTAAAAGAAGCTGCTTCACTAATTTAAAATACCTCCATGACATGAAACTCTCCTATACTTTCTTTTGGTGACTGACTGAATTGAAGTGGCTAGAATTAGGTCAGGTCTGGCTTCTTACTGTATCTTTTAAAATAATCATTGGATGTACCTTGTGCCTTTATTCACTTAAGTCTATATTAAGTACAGTTTGCTGGGAGTGCATCCATCTGTAAATTAAATTCAGCCATTTTTTTTATACAGAGCTTTGAATTTTCCAAAGTTACTTACTAATACTACAATATTTCTGTTTATTGTATGCTTCTGTTGCATTGACTTGAAATATGGGTTTTTTTAATAAAGCAGTGCAAAATATTGTAACGTGTATGATGTAATTTTGTTTAAAATGCTAGTTCATTCTGTTAAAGAAAGAAAACCCTCAGTGTTCAGTTCTAATAAGCTTGTCTTTTTTCGTTGCACAGATGCCACACAAGTCAAGATCTGCAGCTTCAGAATGCCTGGTGTTAGGCCAGGATATATTTTTATGTTATTGTTGTGTCAAGAACTCTCACTGGCACACAGTTGCTGTAGCTTTCAGTATTGACCTTAAGTGAAAACATGAATATGAATCAGTCTTTCATACCTTATGTGGCTTAAAGAGCTTGTTATGCCTTACTGCAGTGCCCAGTCTGCTAAGCAGCTAAGGAAGGGTGTGTTCTCACGTAAAAGTACTAGTTCTACACATTTATAATATAATGAAGAAATTAGTACAGGGTGGGGAGTTGCTATTTTGTAAGGACTGCAGCATCCTCCTTATAGCATCTTAGATCTGCACCATGAAGAGTAGATTTCCTCCTCAAAAGAGGAGTTGGAAACAATCTGAATGGGAAGCATTCTGTGGTCAACCTTATATTGACGATGACTGTCTCTTGTTTTTTTTTAGACATCCTTTCTCTCTGACATCATGCGGGTGCAATGATGGTTGTCTGTGAGGCTTTTCTAACCCTTAAATGGAAGGCACTTCCAAGTAGACTCAAATATCCAGAGCCCACTTTCTGCGAGAATTCTTATGCCGTATTGTGTCACTGTACTTTTGAATCAGTTTTGGGACATCTGTGAGATACTTTGTAACATGAGTCTGTCTCTAATGCACAAAAAGGCCTTCTGCCTAAACCGTGCTTTAAAACTATCTAGTTAGTATATACTTGCATTGAACGTGGTGACATGCAATTTCAAGGCTTTACTTAAGCCCTTAACTAAGCAGGAAGACAAGCAACCTTACATGTAGATTTGAGTTTATGTTATGGAACAAAAGAGCTGAATTTTCTTAATCCACAGTCTTGGTGTTGTATATCATTACCCCAAGACCTCCTATTTGCATTGGGTTTTAATAGTTGTCAGTGAATGCAGATGAAACTCTTCAAGTGGGAAAACTTTCAAAATGTATATTCTTCAGAACAGCTGATTTTTGTGACTGCAGCTATATAGTGAGAACCCAATTATAGTTCCTTTTCTCTTTGTAACTGTGTTATTTGGGTAGAATTACTATTTTCTGTTGCATTTACATAGTGACTGTGGGGAACATTGAGAGCCACTGGGTTAACATGTCTGTCTAATTCTCTGCAAAAATAAAGCATATACAGGCATTTGTGCCTGAATGTAATTTTCTGTGATGGAAGCAAAAATAATAAGATTTTTTTTTTCTTTTTAGGACTTAGAGGAATTCTGCTTTAAGTTTTGTGTCAATCATTTGACAGAAGTGACACAAACGACGGCATTTTGGCAAATGGATGGTCCCCTGCTAAAGGAATTCATTGCTAAAGCCAGTAAATGTGGAGCATTTAAGAACTGAAATGAGGCTGTAAGTTACGGGTGTTTGTAGAGAGTTTTTGCAGTTATAACAGGATGTCATAACTGTACAGGTAAAAGCGAGCATTGCCTGATCTCTTGTACCAGAAGATGTGAAAGGCCACGGTAAAAACAAATGTTTTCTGTGCTCAAGAGTGAACTGTTGTAAAAACGTCGAGCAAAATATTCACTTGCATTTAGCAAACCTGGATGGTGGAACCAGCTCAAGATTTCAGATGGAGAGAGGAAACGCTGCAGTGTACAAAAGACACCAGCTGGTGTTAAGGACTTACCTTTTTAGCCTAGGAAATCTCAGTTCTAGCACCACCTATTAATATTTTCAATTTACTTTTTGGGGTTGGAGAATAGTCTGACCTGAGCCACTGAATGATGTCACTTAGATCATTAACTCCCTGTGATTATGGAGAAGCAAATGGCATGGATATCTCTTACTGCATTTGCATGATTGTGAATGAATTTGCCATTTGCTGTGTGTAATTTACCAAGTATATCTGGTGCTTAGAAAACTGTGCAAAAATAATATGTCTTCAAAGCCTACACAAGTGACTTTGAAGAAACGGGTAACTAGCAAATCTAATTCAAAGTAAATCTCTATATTTGGGTATACCGTAATATAAGTTGTAATGTTGTCGTGGATGGAGTCATGCGCTTCACTCGTAAGACAGAAGCAACAATATACTTTGTTAACACGCTGTTTTATATCAATAAAGTTCCATGGTAAGTGGTTGAACAAAATTTGATGGCAAGGTACACTTGGTTATTTATTGCATAGGGTCAGACAGTCTGTCAGGGAGACCCTCCTGTTGAGTCATGAGGTTCCAGAAAGGACCCCTTTGGTTTCTAAATACCTTCTCAGAGAGGAGTCTAGGTGCGGCTGGATCCAGTCCTCGTCCCAGACTTAGTCAACGGTTTATGTCTAAAGGATTATATATGTAAAATCAATCCTTTATATCACTTAGCTAAGATTTCAAAGTTTAGCATGCTATTAATCACCAAATATCTGACGCGATAAGGATTTTCTCAACCTCGAAGAGTAACCTTGAGAGGTGTCGCTGCTCAAGGGGAGATCCTGGTGTGCAGCCTGCTACCCTGCAGGAGAGCTCAAAGGGCTCTTGGGTTACTCACTAGTTATGGGGTAAGATGATTGACTCCTAGTCATATTTGCATACTGACTGTAGATGTTAATTTCTTCCAAATTTGGCTTGAGTCAGACATTGACCAGCACTGATTAGGTGGGCACACTGCCCTAAATTAGCCCCTGGCTATTGCCCTTGTTATCTGTCTCCCTTGAATCCACTTTGAGCCGGATGCATCCATCACAACCAGATGCGTCCATCACAACCATATGCATCCATCACAGCTGCCACTGGTGGTTATCCCTTGAGCAGAGTTATGGGAAAAGGTCAGGTTGGGGACAGAGGGGAGCACACAATCACACTCCACACCATGACTATAATCAGTTCATCTTATTCTCACAGAGTGGTGGTATGATCACCTCTTGCCTCTGTGCCATAGTGTATTGATGATTTATGCGCTTACAGATCCATGGCAAGTAGATAGTGAAGTATTGCTGTTTGCTCTTTATTAGTTTGTATGTTTTGGGCAGTTGGATTAGGTGGGCACACTGCCCTAAATTAGCCCCTGGCTATTGCCCTTGTTATCTGTCTCCCTTGAATCCACTTTGAGCCGGATGCATCCATCACAACCAGATGCGTCCATCACAACCATATGCATCCATCACAGCTGCCACTGGTGGTTATCCCTTGAGCAGAGTTATGGGAAAAGGTCAGGTTGGGGACAGAGGGGAGCACACAATCACACTCCACACCATGACTATAATCAGTTCATCTTATTCTCACAGAGTGGTGGTATGATCACCTCTTGCCTCTGTGCCATAGTGTATTGATGATTTATGCGGCTTACAGATCATGGCAAGTAGATAGTGAAGTATTGCTGTTTGCTCTTTATTAGTTTGTATGTTTTGGGCAGTTGGAGTTGGGTTATTTGTTTTATCATGTACCAAACCTTTATATACAACATGTTTATAAGCAATAAACATAGTAAAGTTAGTCAGTAAAATCACAACTGGGTGAAGCATAAGGTTAAACATTCCTGTTGCTGTTGGTGACCATCCAAGAAGAGTTTATCACCAATAGTGTTCATCCTTCTTCACACTTCCCAAGACATGGTGTATCTCTTTTGTATCATGATGAACGGTGATTAGTTTTGTGTCCATTGTTTTGGACGCGTTCTAGCAGTTGACACAGGTCATCATGTTGTAGTTTCTTCACCAATGTAAGATTCATTCCAAAGGGGGTAGGCAATAAATCTTGACTCAATGTATAATTTGATTGTAACAGTTGATAAGATGTAATGGGAGCTGAATATTTAAAGTTACAAGCACAAATATTTGAGTGATTGCTTGTATCATCTACAGCGAAGTTATCTATAAATGTAAAATCACAAAACGTTCTCATACAAACACATCTTTTTCCAATATATATAAGTACAGTTTTAGAGGTTTCATTGGGATGTATTTCAAAATGACAAACATTTTGTTCAGTGCCAAGACAAATGTCTTGGGCTTTGATGGTGTTACTCTCACAAATAAATCTTTGTTGTTCCTGTACAACAAGTGTTAACATCAACAGTTTGCCGTTTGTTTCCATTTTGTTGGGCCCACACTGTATGTTCTAATGGATATAGTTCCATTGTGATTTAATCCTAGCATAATGATTGAGAAAGAGTTATATATCTAAGCATTACATATGGTTAAGACAAAAGCTGTGGCCTTATTGTTGATGGCATCATAAGTGAAATTCACTAAATACCACCAGGACTGGAATTCTTTCTCAAATTTAATTGCATTATCCCAGTTTGCCGTTCAGATTTCGATGGGTAAGGTGCCCTCTTCAGCTTCTCTTCTAATTGCTGCTGCCATAGATTGCATCTGCAGCTGAGCTTGGATACGACTAAGAGCTAGAGAAACATTATTTTGGACTGCACCAAGTGCATCCACAATCAATCGGAGGTTCCTTTAATGAATTCGTTCCCATTGGAGCAATATATCAGATAAGAGCCATTGGTTAGTTCCCATTGCTGATAGAGAAGACTGCAATGGGTGTTCCAATTTGTTACTTGTTGTGCTCAGTTTATTTACGAGTACTTCAGCATCTGTACTATTTAAGACTCCAAATCCTGTCCCTAAAATACCAGTTGCATCTCCCTTGTTTGTGTTGGAGAGGTGAGGGTTCACCCATGTAACAATGCTAACCATCCTGCATAGGACATACTTAGGAATGGTGAATAGGTCGGTTTGATGGTAGAGATATTAATTGGCATCAATAGTTCTACTTGCTTAAGAGACCATGGAGTAACACTCATTGTTGGCCTGTGTTTTTGATTACATACAGTCCAATTTCAGAAATTCGGGGGGATAGTTTTCTTATCCTTTACAATCAGGATGGATGTTGTTGTGCTAGGCTCAGTAATGTCTATTTTGAATTTAAATGATAGTCCCACACTGTGGTGAGCCCAGAGGCAGACTACAAAACCAGGTTGTACTAAGGTAAAATTGTACCAAAAGTCCAACTTGTCAGAGGGACAAAGTTTCATGTCTTTGGCTGTTGGATTTGATGCAATGGTGTACACCGAAATCTGAGATGCCTTCTTGTGGGTAGACCCATTGATTATTTGGCATCCTATTTTAATTTATTTTGCTGCTGTTCCCTGAAGTTGGGGAACTTTTTTATCAGCTTAGTCTTTATCCCAGCTCCATTCATTTTCTAAGTATATTTCAGTTCTGTGTAAGATCATGGTGGAAAGATTTAAATCTCCCTTACTGGAGTGTATTCCCATACCCCCAGTGTACTTAACACAAGCTTGAGACCGTGGCCACTCTATGGCTCTTTGACCACAAGTTAAGAGGAGCAGTATTGTTAGGGTTTGGAGTAGTAACATGAACACAGCATTTCCATGTGCCTTCCTGCAAGATGCTGTAAGAGAAAACAGAGACTTGTTTTGGTGGGGAGAGTCTGAACAGGTTACCCTGTTAAAAGTAAGGAAAAATCCATTGTGCACTAATTCTATGTTTTACACCACTGTGACTTCCTAGGCAAGTGGGCTGTGAGGTTTAGTTAAAGTCATAGGCAAAGTACCGATGGATGGTGTTTTGACCATCATAGGCTGTCCTGGCTGTAATGTCATAGGATATTCTCTTTTCCTAGTAGGTGGAGTGCTAAGCTTGGTTTTTCCTAAGGTATCTGGAGCAATCACTGCACTGCCTGCTATCCACCAAGTACCTAAAACTTTTACTTCTTTATTTGCTCACTGACATTTTCTGGGTGGAATCTCATTTTCTGCTTTATTTAGCGCTTGCCATACTGCTGCTGCCACTTCCCCTTCTTAAGTGAAGTTACTCCAATCAGAATATCTGTATATTGGTGGTGTTCCTAAAAATAAGGGTTCTTCACCTGGTGTGCAAGAGCCAATTGAGAGGTATTTGTCTTTATTTCAGTTCTGCAGCATAGGGTTCTCGGCATCTAACGCAGCCAGCACACCTCTTAGGAAACGCATAGAGCCTTTTATACAAAAAGATAACAAGGAAAAAAAACACACTAAAAGAGCTGATTGGTCACTTGTAATTATATAACAAAAACTCATTTGCGCATGTCTTGATTTCTGTCTGGCTCATTATACTAAGGTGGTCTTACATTTACATATAAAATCTCCTCCTAGAGGTGTGATTTTTAGTAGTAAAATTGTGTAAGGTAACTAGAGGTTATACCTTCATCCTATCAGCTACCACTGAGTTACTGTTTAACCTTCTATTCCATTGGGGTTCCAGTTGGAACAATGGCTAACTTCAAAATTGGATTATTTATGTTCACAGGCTTTTTGTTTTAGGGACTTTCTATTCCCGTTACCATGGTTTCAGAGCAGGCCGTCATGGTTGCTCAGTTGTGTGGATTTTTAGCTCTTTTC